TCTTGACCACAGCTGCATGAGATGAAGCAAGAAAGGAGAAAAGCAGAGCAAAGCAAATAGAAATCACAAAATGAGATGCTAAAAATAAAACATCATCAGTAATCACAATACGTTTAGATGGAAAAACCATGCAAGTTAAAAGATAAATTTACAGATTTCATTCGCTTTCCATAAAACCAGATTGAAAGTTAAAAAGAATGCATAAAGAGGTCAAAAGTTAGAGACAGAAAAAAAGAATCAGATAAATAGTAACCAACAGAAAGGGGACCATTCAAGCCTTCCACAGGTTCTCAATTTCTTGGAACCCAGTTTGGTCCTCTGCTTGGCAGCCCTGCATCTGAACAATACACCAGATATCCCAGAGCCTGAGTTCTTCCTCCTGTAAAACAGATCTAAGGAACAGTCCCTCTCTCCCTTCAGCCAATTTTTATGGACTGCCTACTGTGTTTCAGGCACTGGTTTAGCTCTTGCAGAGCTTACGTTGTAGCAGGAAGAGCACAGAGGAAACCACGGACATAATAATCATGTAAATTGTATAGTATATAGGTGATAAGTACTGTAGAAAAAGAAAAAGCGAATGATCAGGGAGATGGGGCTGCTGGACAGGAATAAGGGGAATGCAGTGCCCAGTCTGGAAGCATGACCAGCATCAGCCTCATTCAGAACGTTGAGGAGGGGGTTATTACTTTGCTAGGGCTCCAACAAAGTACTACAACCGGGTGACCTCAACACCAGAGATTTGTAGTCTCTCAGTCCTGAGGCTGGAAGTCTGAGATCAGGTGTCAGTGGGCTTGCTTCCTTCTGAAGGCTGGGAGGGGGTGTCTATTCCAGGCCTCCCTCCTTGGCTTGTATTCTCCTGATTTCTCTTCACGTTGTCTTCCTCTTCTGCATGTCTGTGTCCAACTGTTCTGTTTTTTTTTTTTTAAGATTTTTTTTTTTTTTTTTTTGAGAGAGAGAGAATGAGAGAAAGCACGAGAGGGAAGAGGGTCAGAGGGAGAAGCAGACTCCCTGCTGAGCAGGAAGCCCGATGCGGGACTCGATCCCGGGACTCCAGGATCATGACCTGAGCCGAAGGCAGTCGCTTAACCAACTGAGCCACCCAGGTGCCCCTGTTCTGTTTTTATAAGGACACAAGTCATATTAGCTGTTCTGTTTTTATAAGGACACAAGTCATATTAGCTGGGGGCCCACCCTCATGACCTCATCTTAATGAATTACATCTGCAATAACCCTGTTTCCAAATAAGGTCACATTCTCAGGTTTGGGGGGTTCGGACTTCAACATATGAATTTGGCGGGTTAGGAGGGGGTACAATTTGACCCATAACGGGGGCATTGGAGGAAAAACTTTCAAGAGATGAGGGAGTGGGCCAAGTGGATATCTAGAAGGAAAATGTTCCAGATAGAGAGACTGGCCAGGGCAACAGCCCCCCTCGTTACAGAGGAATGTCTGACATTTTCAAGGGATAGCGGGGAGGCCAGTGTGGCTGGAGCAGGATGAGCAGGGGAAGAACAGTGGATGAGGTAAGTTCGGCTGCGGGACAGAGGAGGAAAGCTTTGAGGTCACTGTAAGGACTCTAGCTTCTTTGCTGAGTGAAATTGGAAGCCATTGCAGGATTTTGAGCAGAGAAGTAACCTGACTTAACTTATATTTAAAAGGATCATTTAAGTCTCTGTGTTGAGAGTTTTCATAGGAGGGTTACAAAAATTAAGTTACCATAGAGGCTGCTTAGAGCCCAAAGATGTCATCCATTACTGTTTATAAGGGTGCTGGTAGTGTCCCACCCAGATTTCTTTACTAGCCTGTGTGTTGGCCCACTCATGCTCCCTTCTCTAGAGAATTGCCCTTGGTCAAAGCCAAAGCCACCTGCCCCTGACCAGCTTGGAGTTACAAAAGGTCATGTCCCTGCCTCAAGAGGGAATGATTCTGTGGTGCAAATTGTGCCTCCTGTCTGATGGAATGAATACATGTGACATGTTGAGGAGGCTCACAATGTTCTTGAGAATATTACACCTGCTGAAACATTGCCAACTCTTGGGCTTTAAGGCACAGAGAGAAGACAAGATGAAAGAAGGCTGTCAGACCCCCAAAAGTCTCTACATGCAGGAAACAGGTGGATAAACTACTCAGTTATACATTCAAGAAAAAGGAAGGATAATAGCAAGGGCAGAGCTGCAGGCCCAGAGGGCGAGTCCATGAGCCACAGAGGATTATTTCCAGGACTTGCAACCGAATGGAGTTAGCCCAATTGAATTTCAAAATTGCTTAGGATTGATGACTCCTCGTTTTCCTTGCAGTTTCTCGCTTTTGAACAGTAATGTCTATAACTGGTATGCTGTGCTTGTCCCACCATTGCATTTGGGGAACAAAATACTTGTTCGCTAGTTTTACAGGTCCACAGAGAGAGAATTTTTCCCCAAGATGGATCGTACCCAGGGTCTCACCCATACCTGACTTAGATAATTAAGATGATGAGACTGGGGGACACCTGGGTGGTACAGTCGGTTAAGTGTCTGCCTCTTGGTTTCAGCTCAGGTCATGATCTCGGGGTCATGAGATTGAACCCTGCACTGGGCTCTGTGCGCACTCAGCACAGAATCTGCTTGAGATTCTCTCTCCCTCTCCCTCTGTTCCTTCCATTTGTGCTCTCTCTCTCTCAAATAAATAAAAATACATCTTAAAAAAAAAAAGAGGACGAGATTGGGACTTTTGAGTTAATAAAATTTAGACTATATATTGGACTTTGAGTAGATGCTGTAATAATTGAAACTTGGGAGGCATTGGGATGAAGTGAATGTATTTTGCATGTGAGGTGCACATGAATCTTTGGGGCCAAATGGAAGACTGTAGTAGGCTAATGGTCCCCCAAATATGTCCATGTCCTAGTCCTTGAACTTGTAAATATACTACCTTATGTGACAAAAGGGATTTTGCAGATATAATTAAGAATCTCAGGATGGGAGGTTATCATGGGTAATCCAATGCAATCATAAGGATCATAATAGGAGAGAGGCAGGATGGTCAGAGACAGGGATATAAAGTAGAAGCAGAGGATGCAGTGCTGCAAGGCCATAAGCCAAAGTGTGAGCAGCCTCTGAAAGCTGGAAAAGGCAAGGAAGTGAGTTTTTCCCTAAAGCCTTCAGGTGGAACACAGTCTTGATGACACCCTGATTTTAGCCCACGGACACTGATTTTGGACTTCTGTGCTCTAGAACTATAAGGAAAGTTGGGGTTGCTTTAAGCCACTAAGTGTGTGGTACTAAGCAGCACACTAAGTTGTGGTACTACAGTAGCAATAGGAAATAAATTCAGGAACCAGCATGAACATGAAGCCCATGCTGCCTGCTGTGCTGTCGTGAAGTTCTTTGTCTCTGAGCTGGGAATCTCGTGTCTTTTGTCAGCACCCACAAAACCAGGCCAGGTTAACTCAGTGGCTTGCAGGAGGGGTACAATCTTTGACCCTTCATAGTTCTTGACATTCAGTTAATAAAAATGATGGTATGGTCGTGGGTATTTTTCCAACTTCCAGGAATATTCTTCAGCCAACTGACTAATAAATTTACTTCTAAATAAGATAGCACTTAAATAGCTTTGAAGCTTACAAAATAAGAAATAGCCCATGGTTTATATTTGGTTGTTTAAATTATGAATAATAATATTCATATTAGTAAAAGAATTAGTAAAAGAATCAGCATTCTTTAATGCTAATAGGAAGTATCTATTTGTGAGAATGTGTTAATTACAAGAAATATTCCATGCTTTGTTCTACTGTTTAGTGTTAGAGTCTTAAAGAATAATATTTTCCTCAAAAAATATTATGGGAAAGGGATTTCTTTTGGCAGAATAACTCCTAAATGAAATCTGGTACATGACTCAGACCACTGGGCTCCTAGAGATGATAGAAATTAGGAAGCAGTATAAACATGGAATAATTTTTAAAGGAAATAAAAAATTTAGATGTGTAAAAACAAAGAACCAGAGAAAATTCCTGTGCAATCAAATGCATTTATTTTTTAGCTTAAGCAAGACAGGTGGTGAACAAATTCATAATGAAAATGCCACCCAGAGATTAGCAGCTGGCTCCACATGCAACCGTGTATGCAAAACCAAGTTTTTCCTAATACCAGTGGGCAGACTGGATTCCTTCACGAAATTAACTCTGTGTTGCACCAGCCCACCCTGCATATCTGTTGGTGGGGAATTCATGACCCATTCACCACCTCAGTCAAAGCCCACACAAAAGCCACATGACCATCACCTACACATCTGCCAAGTAAATAGCATGGCAAATAGCACTTTTCTTGTCCAGTAGCCAACAACACAGAAATGTGACCAGACATACATACACCAACACAGACACAAAATGCACCTGCCCTCACTCAGCTGACAACTTTCCCTATATTTCTGGGGACAAGAATGTCATGCAACGTACCACGGATTGGTTCTCATCCTGGGGGGGCAGGGGCCAAGGCTGTCTCTAGGTTTTAGCGTGAGTGGCTTGAAGTTCTCAGAAGAGCTATTTCAGTACAACCAACAGAAATGTTGGCCACAGTGACTGTGAGATGAGTCTTCTGACATCCCCATAGTTGTTTGGCACCCTGACAAAAGCTGGGCTCAGTTAAGGGTTGAGTGGAAGGTACAGACATGGGGGATCCTACAAGAGATAGGAGGCAGTGCCCTAGTTTATACTGCTTTATGTACATCCCAGCCTCTTCTGGATGCAAAGTCTCAAATTCACAAAATATTAGAGCTGAAATGAATCGTGTACTCCAGACTCCTCACGTTACAGTTAACCATGTGGCAGCCCAGAAAAGCAAAGCAAATTGCTAAAGGTAGAGCATGGTAATGGCAGGACCAGACTGGAACATAGTATGCTAATCCCCACTCAAGAACACTGACACCGAGTATATGGCCAAATTCTTCAACAACAAGGAGGATGAGACTGTGTAAATACTTTATTCCCCAAGAAACCTGAACTTCTTGTGTTGAATGGCATAGAAACTCAGATTATTCAGCTCTTTTCTGAGGGGGCTCTCTTCTCTCTTTCTTTCTGTCTCTGTCTCTGTCTGTCTCTCATAACCCTCCCATCCACCCACACAAACATTTTTAGTGAATGGAGATTTCTTGGTTTACAAAGACAGAGCCAACATCTTCAGGAAGACACTTTACAGAGTAGTTTCTCAATCCAGGTCTTTGTGTGAGGTCTGGGAAACTGGCTTATTTTCTAGAACAATAGGTGGTTCTGAAATCAGAAGATCATCCTCCCCAAAGGAGGAGTTCTGGTCTGTGTTCACAAAGTTGGGGATGTCAAACTTCATAAGCCTGTTCAGCTCCTCCTCTGGCTGCCCATTGCTTCTAATGGCTTCCTGGAGTTGAACACTGCTGTCAAGGGCTGTGGTCTGGTGACAAGCTTTAGCCCTATCCAAGTGTTCCACTTCACTGATGTAGCAATGAAAGAGACACCTGGATTCCTCATTGCCCTGTCGAGAAAACACCTTATCTGGCTCCAGTGGTCTTCCAAAGTCTGACACAAAGCTATTCATTCTGAATCTCTTCTCTGAAGATTCTGCATTGCTGTAAAGAGAAGGAAAAGAAAACACTGCTTACACACCAGCTCATTCAACTGCAGAAATCATGGTTTTGGGGGGGCTCCTGGGTGGCTCAGTCGGTTAAGTGTCAGACTCTTGGTTTCAGCTCTGGTCATGATCCCAGGGTCCTGAGATTGAGCCCTGCATCGGGCTCCACACTCAGTGTGGAGTCTGCTTGAGATTCTCTCTCCCTCTCACCCTCTCCCCCCTGCACACATGCGCTCTCTCTCTCTCAAATGAATAAATAATCTCCTAGAAAGTTTCCTTCCATTCAATTTCTACCCCCTTTAGGTAACACTGCCTTGATTTTGATTTCTATTGATAAGCTTTGCCTATTCTTGAACTTCCAGTCCATTTCCACCTCCTATAGGTAATGTTTTTTTATCACCACAGGCTAGTTTAGCCTGTTTTTGAAATTCATACAAATTCATACAATATATAGCCTATTGTGCCTGGATTCTTTTGCTCAGTGTAATGTTTTTTTGAGATCCATCCATGTTGTTGCATATAACAACAGTTTGTCCTTCTTGCTTTCATCATATAAGTACACTACAATTGTTTATTCATCTCCTCTTAAAGGGCATTTGGGTTGTTGACAGTTTGGCACTATTGTGATTAGAGCTGCTAAGAACATTCTGGATTAAGTTTCTTTGTAGATATACATTTTTATTGCTCTTCACTAAATACCTAAGAGTAGAATTACTGGGTCACATAGTAGATCTGTGCTTGACTTTATCTGAAACTGAAATTTTCCAAAATGGTCGTGCCATTTTACACCCTCACCACAAAGTACAAGAGTTCCAGTTACTGCATATCCTCGTCACCATTTGGTGTTGTCAGTAATTTCAACGTTAGTCATGCTAGTGGGAGAGAAATGGCATCTTGTCAGTAGTTGAATGTGCATTTCTCTGATATCTAGCAATGTTGAGCATCTTTGCATGTGCTTGTTGGCCATTGGTTTATCTTCTTTTGTGAAGTTTCTGTATGAATCTTTTGCACCTTTTAAAAATTGGATTGTTTATTTTTGTTACTGATTTGTGATAGTTTTGTAACACATTTTGAACACAAGTCCTTTGTCAAATGTATTGCAAACATATTCTCTTGATGTGTGACTTGCATTTTCATTTTCTTAAGATGTCTTTTGATGAGTAGAAGCTTTAAATTTCAGTTAAGTTCAAGTTATCAATTTTTTTATTTTATATTTAGTGCTTTTATATCACCTCTATGAAATAATTGCCTACCCTACATTCATGAAAATATTCTCCTATTCTTTCCTCTAGAAGTAGGCTCTGCAATACAATAGCCACTAGCCACAGGTGGCTATTTAAATTTAAATTAAGTAAAGTTAAGTAAAATTTAAAATTCAGTATCTCCATCATATCACCCACATTTCAAGTGCTCAGTAGCTCACTGTGAGCAGGGGTTACCTAACTGGACAGCACAGAGGACAGATACAACATCACAAAAGTTCTCTTGGATAGAGCTCTTCTAGGAGCTTTTACTGTGGGTGTATGATCCATGTTGAGATGGGGTCAAGGTTCATTTTTATGTTTATCCAGTTGATCCAGCATTGTTGTTTAAAAGACTTCCCTTTCAATTGACCTTAGACACAGTAATAGACAGTAAGAAAAAAATTCCATTCACAATAGCATCAAAAAAATGGAATACAGGCATACCTCATTTTATTGCCCTTCACTTTATTGCACTTCACAGATATTGTGTTTTTTACAAATTGAAGGTTTGTGGCAACCTGTGTCTGGGAAGTCTGTCAGCCCCATTTTTCCAACAGCATGTGCTCACTTTATGTCTCTGTGTCACATTTCAGTAATTCTTGCAAAGGTTCGAATGTTTTCATTATTATATTTGTTATGGTGATCTGTGATTAGTGATCTTTAATGTTACTCTCCTAATTGGTTTTGGGGTGCCATGAACCACACCCACACAGGATGGCAAACTCAATTGATAAATGTTGTGTCCTGACTGCTTTACTGACTAGCCTTCCCTATATCTCTCCCTTTCCTTGGGCCTCCCTATTTCCTGAGACACAACGATATTGAAATTATGCCAATTAATAACGCTACAATGGCCCTAAGTGTAAGTGAAAGGAAGAGTTACACGTCTCTCACGATCGAAAGCTAAAACTGGTTAAGCATACTGAGGAAGGTATGAAGGTATGTAAAAAACCAAGATAGACCAAAAGCTACTCCTTTTGTGTTTAACAGTTAACCAAGTTGTGAATGCAAAGGAAACGTTCTTGAAGGAAATTAAAAGTCCCTCTTTGGTGCACATACCAATGATAAGAAAGTGAAACAGTCTTAATGCTGATATGGAGAAAGTTTTGGTGGTCTGGATAGAAGATCAAACCAGCCGCAAAATTCCCTTCAACCAAAGCCTAATCCAGAGCAAGGCCCTAACCTTTGTCACTTCTGTGAAGGCTGAAAGAGGCAAGGAGGCTGCAGACGGAAAGTCTGATGTTAGCAGAGGTTGATTCATGATGTATAAGGAAAAAAAGCCATCTCTGTAACATTAAAGTGCAAGGTGAAGCACCGGTGCTGATGTAGAAGCTGCAGAGGGTGATCCCAAAGCTCTAGCTAAGATCATTAATGAAGGTGGCTACACTAAACAACAGATTTTCAGTACAGATTAAATAGCCTTCTGTTGGAAGAAGATGCCATTTAGGACTTTAATAGCTAGAGAAGTCAACGCCTGGCTTCAGAGTTTCAAAGGACAGTCTGATTCTCTTGTTAGGGGCTAACATAGCTGGTAACTTTAAATTGAAGTCACTGGTCATGCACCATTCTGAAAATCCTATGGTGCTAAGGAATTATGCTACATCTACTCTGCCTGTGCTCTATAAATGGAACAACAAAGCCTAGATGACAGCACATCTGTTTACAACATGGTTTACTGAATATCTTAAGCTCACTGTTGAGACCTACTGCTCAAAATAAAGATTCTTTCCAAATATTACTGCTCATTGACAATGTACTTGGTCACCCAAGAGCTCTGACAGAAATGCACGAAAACAAAATTCATGTCATTTTCATGCCTGCTAACACGACATCCATTCTGCAGCCCATGAATCAGGAGTAAGTTTGACTTTCAAGTCTTACTTTTTAGCCCCTGGGACTGGCGGGGAGGAGCTCCAGGCTAATAAAGTTGAGAAACCGCCAAAAAAAAAAAGTCTTACTTTTTAAGAAATATATTTCATAAGACTATTACCGTGACAGATAGTGAATGATTCCTCTGGTGGATCTAGGCAAAGACAAGTGAAAACCTCCTGGAAAGGATTTGCCATTCATTAAAAACCTTCATGATTTATGAAAAGAGGTAAAAAAAAAAAAAAAATCAACATGAACAGGAGTTTGGAAGAAGTCTATTCCAACCCTCAGGGGTTCAAGACTTCAGTGGAGGAAGTAACTGCAGATGTGGTGGAAACAGCAAGAGAACCGAGTAGGAGTGGAGCCTGAAGATGGGACTGAATTATTACAATTTCGTGATCCAAACCTGAAAGGATGAGAAACTGCTTCTTATCAATGAGCAAAGAAAGTGGATTCTTAAGATGGCATCAACTCCTGGTAAAGATGCTATAAAGATTGTTGAAATGACAACAAAGGATTTAGAATATTACATAAGCTTAGTTGAAAAAGCAGCAGCAGGGTTTGAGAGGACAGACTCCAATTTTGAAAAAAGTTCTACTGCACCTAAAATGCTAGCAAACAGCATGAATGCTACAGAGAAATCGTTTGTGAAAGGAAGAGCCAATTGATGTGGCAAACTTCATGTTTAAGAAATTGCCCAGCCACCCTCGCCTTCAGCAACCACCACTCTGATCAGTCAGCAGCCATCAACATTGAAGCTAGACCCTCCGCCAGCAAAAAGATTACTTGCTAAAAGCTCAGATGACAGTATTCTTTTGGCAATTAAAGTACTTTTAAGTTAAAGTATATACATTTAATTTTTAGACATAATGCTATTGCAGACTTAATAGACTAGTACAATGTAAACATAGCTTTTATATGCTCTGTGAAACCAAAAAAACTCATTTGACTCACTTTATTACAATATGTGCTTTATTGCGGTGGTCTGGAACCAAACCTGCAATATCTACAAGGTATGACTGTACTTGGGAAAAAAATTAACACAGGATGTGCAAGACTATACACTGAAAGTTTTAAAACACTGCAAATGGAGTAAAGGAAGACCTTAGTATATGGAAAAATAAACCATGCTTGTAATTGGAAAGCCATAAAACCATAGACAGAAATTAATGAAGTTTCCTCCTTTCAAGGGCCAAAGGCTCTTCTGTTTTTGTCTGCCAATATTTAGTCTCCAGTGCTTTCCATTAGTCATTCTTTACATTTTGTCTAAATTTTATAATGGTTATCTGCAAGGTAATTTAAAGCAAACTACTCTGCCATTATTGGAACTGGAACCCACCTACCTATCACCTCTTGGCCCTTCATGAATTATATATGGTGCCACCTCCTGGAACTCATATACCAAAGAGCTACTAAAAAGGGGCATCTTGCACTTTCTACAACTGGCCAGGCTTGGAGGCTGCAGGGGCTCAAGTTCCACGGGGAAGACTTCTGCCACTTATTGGTAAGAATGGCTTCAAGGAAAGCCAGTGAAAATATTGCCCCTCAGTGGTTACCCATTTTTTAAAGCAGTCTGGCCCTCGTGAGTCACATCCAAAAATATTCCTATGTATGTAACACAGTGAATATCAAAGGATTCTCACTAATTAGGCAGGGGGGAGTTTGCAGCTGGATGTTGTCTTAATTTTGTTTTTAGGAAAGGACCACCTGCCATATTGTTAAGGATGTCTCTCCAGCCTGTAGATGGACTGGGGACTGCTCTGGGGGTTGTTATGCTCCCAAAGAGAAGAGAGCAAGTTCTGACTTTCTCATCCTCTCAAATTCTGCTGGCATAGAGAAAAACAATGCTCTAAAACACCTATTAGATCAGTTAAGAGAGTTTAAA